GCATCGTAAACTGCATAGCAGAGATCGTCCCGGTGCCTACTTCTGGCAACTTTGGCGTAAGATGGCGGCTCTTTTCCTTTTCCTCCGTCTAGCTTCTCCTTCCTCGTTTTTCGGGGCTTCTTTTGAGATTCCCTTACCTTCGAGGTTGATTTCGCCGACGTGTTCGTCTTCGGAATATCTGGCTTGGCGTTGTCACCCTTACTCGCAGGATTCTCACTTGAGATTCCTTTGAGTGAAGTATGGCTTGGCTTCGACTGTGTATTAGAAGACGGGGAGCTCTTTTTCTTCTTAGGTTTATTCTCAGTTGTCAACTCCTCGGGAGACCTGATCCTTTTTGCCTCAGATCTTGTGAGAGAGTCCGATTTTTCCTTTGGAGTGTCGTGGGATTGACTAACTATGATTTCCTGAAGCATCTTTTTCAACTTCCTCCTCTGTGCTCCAGAAAGTCTTTTCTTAGTAATAGGTAGTTTAGCTATGCTATCACTCACCTCTTTCACCATTTGCTCTACTTCATCCTTTTTGGGATTTGCTATAATGGTATTATTTTTATTATCATCTGAGGATTCAGAGTCGGAACCCTCACCTATATTTAAAGGCTGAGGTAGCTTAGAGCTCTCTCCGAGTACATCCTTCTCTTTCACCCCTATATTTTTGCCAGCGGCATGCTGTACACTTGACGCATTGTCCGCCACGGAGGCCAAGGTACCCACCTCCGTAGTAGTATTCTGCTCACGATTGCAGGATGACGACGACACGTGACTCGCGAGTAGATCAACACTTGCCGCCGGTACTGGGTTATTTAGGCCCTGCACCGTAACTTTTATCTTTTCATTTTTATTTTCCATATTTGTTTTTTTTTTTTTTTTTTTTTCCAGTTTTTTGGTCCGCGGGGAATATAATATTCCCAGGTGGTGGACAATCTGCCCTCCCTCAGCTTAAGTGAAATTAAAGCTGGGAGAGGACAGATGGTCCATCACCACCCCCTATCCGCCACCCGGGGACGCGCTCGGTAGGAAAAATCTGGAAAACTCCCCCGAGAGAAACTTATCAACTTTTCGTAAAAGTTTTTCAGAAACTAAACAACTTTTCCTATAAAAGTTGCTCAGAAACAGAACTTGTTCCATATAAAGTTTCTGTAATTGTTCCATATAAATTTTCTCGAAAACTAAATAACTTTTTTTATAAGAAGTTGTTAAGAAACTGAACCATTTTTTATATAGAAAGTATCTCGGAAATTAAACGACTTTTTCTATAGAAAGTTCCTCAGAAACTGAAGAACTTTTCCTATAAAAAGTTGCTTTATAGAACAGAAAAATTTCTATAAAAAGATGCTCAGAAACTGAAAAAAATTTTCCAAAAATTTTGCTCAAAACCTGGCAACTTTTCCTATAGAAAGTCGCTCAGATACTCAACAACTTTTTCTATAAAAATTTATCTAAAAACTGACCAACTTTTTCTACAAAAACTTTCTGAGAAATTGTAACAAGATTCTCAGAAACTGAACATCTTTTTTAAAATGTTGTTCGAAAAAAATGTTGTTCTATTTCCAATAGAAAGTTGTTTAAACAAATTCTATAAAAAGTTGTTCAGAAAAGGTTTTTATTAAATATTTAATTATAAAATTACCCATTTTGTTTAAAACTAGTTATGACCCTCTTATAGCAAATGGTGATATGTTTATAGTTTTAATCTAAACAAAATTTTTCATTTTGGACACTAATATTTTTCAACACAATACAAAATTTGCATAAAATTGGTTTGAAATTGGAAATTGTACGTTTTTATTTGGATTTAATTGTAGTAAATAAAAACACAAAAACTTTTGCATATTTGTTGGCTCTAGTATAGTATAGTTTTCTTTTCTTTTTTTATGAATAATAATACGACAAATTACTAGTATTGTCTCTGATCTTAATTCTCTGTAAAAAAAAGGCCTGTCATTTTAACAAGGCGATGTTATAGTACCAAGGGTTTATGGCATTCTGATACAGGTCTTCAAACTATTTACAGGTCTTCAAAAATTTACTTTATCTTATTGCTAGAATATTTGACATCAGTGAAGTATTTCCATGTGTTCAGAAGGGGTTTATTTTCAACATCCACTGTTTTATAATTATTCTAAAAATTCTATATAGACGAACTCATTACAGCGAACTGAATAACTGTAGTTTATAGTCGGAACAAACCATGATACAACTTTGGATAATTGACATAACTACGCATTAGTAATATTCTTCGAACATCACTCTAATAATTTAACTTTTTAAAACATTTTTCAACTTTAGTTTAAAGCAAATTCCAAAAACAAAAACTTGATTTCTTTGTATATGACAGAAATTATAAAATGTTTAAATATGTATGTATATTTATTGTTAAATTAACCTAATTTAGCTTTTTTGCCAAGATTATATAAACAATTTTAATAGTTAATAAAAAATAAAGCATACTTTTAGGTTATTTATATCATAATTTAAATCATAACATTATAATATTTTAGTTTTTTTTTATTATTATTATTATACGCTGTTTATATTAAAATCAACTTTATTCCTATTTTATTTTTTAAGCCTTAAATGATCAACCAAATATGTAAAATATATCTTTCTATAAGTTTAAATAAAACCATAAATATAAATATGAAAGAGAGAGATACAAAAAAAAGAGAGTGCGGGCACACACAAACACACAACTTCTCAATTCATCAATGTATCAATATTGTATATCACCTCCTCTTCCTAGTTATGCACCACCAACTCTACTCTTAATACAGACTAAAAAAAAGAAAATTATATTATAATTTTATTATTCAATTATTCCGTCCATTATCTTGAAAAAACAAAAACACGAAAAAAAACTGAAATCTTCTATCATCTGTGTTTTTTACCTCTACTACCTCTACAACTTCTCTATAACTATAATTTATTTTTCACCTAAAACTTGAGGTGAGTTTCTTTCTTTTTTATAATTTTGTTTGTTTTTCTTTCTTTCTAACGAAAAAAACATTCCGCTTCAAATATCATCTTTTGAAAATTGTGTCTGTAAACTTTTTTTCTACCATTTCTCTACCACACCATTTCAGTAAGCGAAAACATTTTTACTTGTTTAAGCTAAAAATTAAAAAAATAAGAAAACTAAATTTATAACATTTCGTTTTATTTGGATTTTCATATTTAACAATTCATTGATGTGAGCTCGGATTTGTTGCGTTTTTTCTATTACTTTTTAGTTCAAATTTATTTTAATCATTAAATTTTTTACACATACATTATGTTGTTTATGTTTGGTTAAGGTTATTTGTTTATAATCATATATATATTTTTTAGTTATTAATTAATATATGCATTTTTTTTATCTAAAGTTTAAATTATACATAATTTTTATTTGGTTATAGTGGTTATAGTTTACAATTTAATGCTGCCTAAAAGTATGCAATACATTTTTGAAATAATCATGACATTTTGTATTACTGTTTTAGTTTTAACCTCAATATTTGTAAATATTTTGTAAATCTAGTAAAAAATTTTTAAATATGTACTTTGGATCCTGAGGATTCACTTTGCATTTCGATTCGAAGGTAAATCCTTTCAAAATATAATGTATTTAGCGTATAAATTGTTTAGAAAGAACAAATTCGATATGAAAATTTGTTTTATAAACCTTTGATAAAATACTAAAAATAAGATTTCAGTATGCCGTTCTTCCCCCTATCGGTCGACTAGTCTTTTCAGTAAAAGGGAACATCATCCTTGGTCTTCCCTTGAATTGATCTGAGATCGAACCAAAGAACCATATAATCTGGTTCTATGGAGGTTATTTGCCTGTAGAGCTTCTCCTGACTGGTAATTGGTTGAGGATCCTTCAGGGTTTACGTAATCTGTGGTTTAAACCCAAATTAAAGGGGAGTGAAAGTTGGTTTAAGGACAGATATATACATATGTTATATATCGGTATTATGTCTCCGAAGCTGTTGTCATCTCAACAAATGTCGCTGGGTGATGTGTTGGAGAACACCCTGAAATCGTTGGGTATCTCTTACCCTTCGCGTAGTAGGGCCCAAGTACATATATGTATGTTTGCGAATTATGAGTTTGGCGCTTGATAGTTGCTTAAGCCATCAAGGCAGATATTAATAATAAGAGAATGAAACTGATCTAACTTGATGAAATGTCCGGAAAGTCTACTCTGCCTCCCGTGAGACTAGTACTGATTGAGTATACAGCATATTCTCAGTGTTGTTGCCATTGTCGGGGTATTATTTGAGTTGAATTTGCAAATTCTTACATACTCATGCCACCTCGACATAAAGATGGATCGTAATTTATCGGTAATGTATTTCAATCTACCAAATATGTCTCTAGAAGCGTTTGCCAAAACTACAGAGCCCTGTGCTGTAGTTGCTCGGTCTTTCAAATATAGAGAAATGTGCTTAAATTGAACATTAGAGGATGGGTATTCTATGGCATCGCTCATGACAGCGGGACCGTCCTCGCTCTATTGATCTGGCTAGCAATTGACTCCTACTTGTTAGGGTTAGTATGGAGATTGGTCTCGTGCTGCTTGTCATTGCACAACGTGAACCGTTCACAAGAGATTAGATAGCTCGAATGCTTCAGCAATGTGCTTGTACATGGACTGGCACAGTTATTATTACCACCAAATGGTGAGCCAATAAAAATGGGTGTAAAAGGCCAACGTGAGATTAAGCCATCAAGGCAGGTACTTACGTAAAGCACTTGGATTTCTGTTCACATTACAATATAATCTTCGTGCTTCAAAATCCTGGCATAAATTCCCGCCAGTATGTTGTGGGTATGTTGGGCAACTACCACGAATACCCCCAAGCATTAAAAAAAGTATTGTGCCACTCTGAATATTAAAAAAAAAAAAAATAAAAAAATAAATGCTACTTATATTTTATTTAAACATCAAATGAATTGAAAATACATTTACTAAAAAAATATTGTGTAAATAAATCAGCTACTTCAAAAGCAATAAAGGAAATGGAATCTTCTTTAAATACTACATTTGAAGCGTTAAAAGATAGCGTGGAAGCAGTTAAACTAAAGCAACAAAATCAATTGCGTAATTTGGTTTTACACGCTAAATATAATAATTATGCCAGCAGAGATGATATGCATGCGACAAGCACTGGCAGCATGTCGTCAAGATTAAATAACTTACATCAGGTCTTTAAAGAAGACATTCAACCAAAAAATGCATTTAAGGAATTAAAAACTTTACATAGCACCGAAATCCTAGAAGATAATCCTTCGCCAACATATTTTAAATCAAAAATGCGTAAAATTGTAAATAATGAAAACGTTAACGATTATACAAATCTAAGCACACCACGTAGTTTAAGTGGTGCATCCATACGTAAATCTAAATATTCCTTTAGAGAGGATACACCTCAAACCAAAAATTCTTTATTGGATTCCTATAAACAAGATAGTTTAGACGATGATGCTGCACATTTTAAGAATTCCACAAATATTTCCTCTTCATTTTTGGAAGATATCAATTTATCTACGTATTGCGCACCTTCTACCAATCAAATACATATGAATTTTATAATGCTAATAGGACTTGTAGCTGGTGTATTAGTTTCCAAAGTCTTGCAATATTTACAATTATATTTGAATTGGCTTTGTGAACAAATTCTTCAATTGCGCAATAATCTTATGGGTAGCAATTCTTTGTGGGAATTTCTTAATTTCGATGACACTCGCCGTCTGCAAGTTCGCTCCAAGTTACTATTGTTGCCGCTCATATTTGTTTGCAGCTTAGTTTATAGTTTAATATATATTTTATATTTTATAGTGCGTTTCCTATTGACTACAGCACCTGATGGTTTAATTAAATTTGTTCAAAATTTCCATAATTGAATATTTGTTGGAGAATTTTGTGATTGTATATTTAATTAAGTTTTTACGTTGTTAATAAATTATGCTATTTATTAATTTGATTGAATTTAAGCATTTTTCTCAGTTGGAAATTTAAATTGTTCTCATTTGTATTTTTTTTTTTATAATCTTGAAAGATTTATGGTGAAATTTTGATGAAAACATAGGGTCTTTATAACTTGTTTTTCGAACCACTTTATCTTTATCGTCGAGAACTATTTTTTCAAACTCCTTCTTTAGAAAAAAGCACTTTACATTTGTCCATTTAAATATGAAAAAGTAGAGTCTAGTAAGAAATCATTCAACCTCATCACATCCAACATTTTCAATTGGTATACTCATTAATAAAATAGATTGGTTAATATCTTTTCACTTTTTTTTGTTTTAACAAAACATTACTTTGTATGCACCGCTTCTTATCTTTTTATTTTTTTTTATTACGAGTTCTAACTTTAATCACTAATCCCAAAATATGTTCTTACTCTGCAAAAGCTTTATTATGCTCCTCTTAACTGTGTGTCTTTTATAATTTTTATATTCTTTATATGTCTTAATCTAACAAAACAATTTTTACAAACGTTTTTTCCCATAGTAATAGAGAATAAAAATGAAATTATATTTAAAATTTAGATCAAATCCTGGCACACCCACCCAACCTCGAAGACCTGATTTTATTGGTCTCAATCAACAGCAACAACAACAATTGCAAAATCAACAGAATCCAACACAATCGTTTTATGAGTACACAACAAATGTGGCACCGACTTCAACGACTGGTTTACCACCACAGCATCCACAATTGCCTATAATACAACAACAACAGCAGCAACAACACCAACAAATGCTAATGCAACAACAACGTGCCATAATGCAACAACAGCAACAAGGTAAGTTTGTTATATTTGGACATCTCCTTAAATTAAAAAAATTCCTAAAGATGTGAAACAGTATAATCATAAATTTTCCCCATTTCAGGTGTCATTAACATCCAACAACAACACGCTGCAACTTTAGCCCAACAACCTTATGGCGGCAGTCCACAACGTCGTTTCCTATCCGAAGGTGAACTAGTGCGCCAGGGTTCTGGACCATCTGGAACGGCAGGCAGTGACTTGTCCTACGCCCGTTCAAATAACACTGTAGATAATATACGCGAATTGGCTGGCAGTCCTCAGCGGGGCGTTTATATGTGGAAAGATACATCACCCGGTTTCCAAGGTAGTTCTGGTGGCGGTGGTATTGGTGGCATGATGCCACCGCCATCATCAATGGGAGGCATCGGCAGTAGTGCGGGCACTATGCCATCAAGTATGCAGCATCATAGTACCGGAGGACCTCAGTATATAACAGTGAGCGGTGGAGCACAACAGGGTCATCCCTTAATAATGACCCATTCGAGAATGCATCAAACGCAGCCAGGAATACATGATTATCAACAGCAACAACATTCGGTATTTCATCGTTCCAATCCAACTAGTCCCACAACATTACCCTCTGCCTCACAGGGACCACCGGTTTCGTCGTATGTAATGCGTTATGGTAATGCATCATCAGCGGCTTCCTCATCGCAGCCACAACCCACAAGCTATAGTCAATCGATGGGTGGTGGCGGCGGTATTAGTGGTAATATGACACAGTCGGTGGCATCGACATCACAAGGTTATCAACCGAAAATACATGGCGGTGTGCCAGTGTTTCCCCCCAATCCCCAAGGCATGAATTCCTCCAATACCCAACCATCACCACAAATCAAACGCAAACAAACCCCCACACGACCCATGTCATTCGTCAGAGCACTCGAAATGACTGATTCGATGGAAATGCAAACGCTTGAGCAGCAGCAACAGCAACAACAACACCATCAACATCAGCCACTGCAACAGCAGCAACAACAGAATCGCAACAATGGTGCCATAACAACCGGTCAAGGTGTAACTGGTCACATGATGGGTGCTGCCCGCGCTAATACCACCACACCCACACCCGACCGTGCCAGTGTCTACGACATGAACTACGAGATTTCCGTATAACCCGTGCTCGTACCCGTCGTTGTAGCACCCGCCAACGCCTCTGCAACGGCTCTACATAACGCTTATGGACATAAGAAACTAATGGCGGCAAACAGCAGCTGCAACAGTAGTGGTGTTGGTGGCGGTAGTACCAATAGTGGCTACACTTTAAATAAATACAAAACTCATTTGAACCAACATCATCACCCACTTCATCATCTTCAACAGCAGCAGCAACAGCATTTTAGTGGCAGCAGTAGCAGTGGTATTATGGGTGGTGGTAATGTTAGTAATTGCAGTAGTGGTGGTGGCAGTGGTGGTAGTAGTGTTATTGTTGGTGTTGACGTTGGTGTTGCCGCTGCTGTAGCAGCAGCTACCGCCCCTGCAGAGCCGGCTGCCTATGCTTCCGTGGCTGTGGTTAATGCCAACTCTACAAATGGCAATAGTAGCAATAGTGTAAGACAACCAAATAAAAGAAAATTTTCCACTTTCTTTTAGTCGAAAAATACAAAACCAAAACGAAAAACTCCACTAATTGAACAAATTCTTAACATTCATACTCTCTTACACTATTTAACCCATTTTGAAAAGTTAAAAAAAAACTAAACTCTGCTCTTGCAAAACAAATGAAACTTCAACCAAAATGTATATAAATACGAGTATATAATTAAACAAATTAAATTGTCTTTTAGTTTATAAATTAAAAAACAAAACTCATTTATAGTGTAAAACTCTCCTTTCTCTCTCTGTCATTTACACAATCTCCTTTATCCTAAAACATTTACACTCTTACATTTATATAAAAAAAAACATATAACCCACTTATACATATTTACATATACATACGTATATTTTATCAAAATTATCACAAATTATTTATAGAAACATAAATAACAATTTGTATTTTAATCCTTATTATTTTATAGCCAAACTCCCTCTGCCCCTCCCTGCCTGTCTAACCCTTAACAATTCCCCTGTTAACTGATCCATGTTTCTGCTCTTGTAAATTATTTAATGAAACAATTTCATAATACTTTCTATCTACACTCATTTCTAGAAGAAAATGATGGCGAATATTTGGTGTAATTTTGTGGCAATTTAAAGAAATTGTTAAGTTTTAAGAAAAAATTAAAATTGTATTTAAACAAAGTGTTTAGTAGAATGTGTTTACGTTCGTAAACTTTATTTATAACTCCCCTGATATTTTAAGTGTTTGTATTATAATTTTACAAAACCATAGATTTGTTTTGTTTTTATATTTATATAAATGTTTTTAAAAGGTTATTGCATGCAACTTTAGTTTAAAAGTTTTTGATTATTTTATTAAAATATTTAAAATTCTCGCTTATTTAGAAAACAAAATAATTGCAATAATTTACATTTAATGGATTGGCTAAAGAAATACTGGAAAATTTATCAAATTAAAAATCTGAAATAAAATGGAAACGTGTAAACTTGTTTACCAATCTCATAAATGTACTTAAAACTGGTTTCTGCATGTCTTGTTTAAAGAAGAAAGTTTGAAATCTTTTAAAAGTCTAAAAAATTAATGAGAATAAAGCCTTTAAGAAGTTTATAGAAAAGAATGAAAAATATTTTTATGCAAAAGAACAAAATGCTTTAAATAATATTGAATACATGAATGGTTGATAAGCAAATAGGTAATGTTAAATGAAACACCTAAAAGTATGCTATACAATTGTGCAATTCCCTTGATTGCCCTTAAAAAACACCTAAATATTTGTCATTATTATTGTTTTAATAATTCTACTTCTATGCTCGTTAGTTTTGTTTTTAAGTTAATTAATTTTATAGTTCTTAAAGTTAAAACAAATTATTAGTAATGTGTGTTTATTTTTTTTTTAATTTTTAAATAAAATTAACTCTTAAGCATTTATTAGTTTTCTTGTGTTTTAAAAATATGTAATAATAAATGAATATATTACTCTTCTGCTATTTGGTTAATAAGTTATAATTCTTCCATTAAACAAAATATTATTTTTAATAATTGAATTCTTTTAATTTAAGTTATTTTTTTTTATTATTTAAAAAAATATTTCGTTTTTAAAACCAATTTGTGTTTATTTTTTAAAGTTAAATATTAAATTAAGTAAATATTTATCTATTTTCGAAAAAATACAAATAAAATTATTTTTTTTTTTATTTTATTGTTATTCCTATTTTGATAATGAAACAAAAACTAATTGCAATTTAAGTCCATCCATTTCAAAAAATTCAGTTCTTTGAATTGAATGAACTCTTGTAAACAGTAAATAAAAAGAAAATTAAATAAACATTTAATTATACTCCCAGTGTTTTAAGAAACAAAAAAGGATGCTTAAGATATTCCTTTATATTTATTTCTTTTTAAAATTTTGTGTAATAAAAATAAATCAAAACTTTTAAGTAAAACAAAAGAAAACGTCCCTTGTTGTTCGTTGTTATTGCAAAAAGAAAAAATCATTAAACATAATTAAATTTTGCACTTGTTTTAGTTAAATATTGTAAATGAACTCAGTAGTTGATTGTTATCAGTTTGGAAATGGAACGACTTGATATTTTTATATAGATTTTCCATAACACAGTATTTTGGTTACAAATCTAGATGGACAATATTATTTAGTGGTTATTCTAAATGGATTTGGGACTTGTTAAATCAAAAATATGTCTTTAAATGCTGTTGGATAAGTATTTGTGGAATTACAATAGGTTCTTGGTATTATGACTTAATATATAAATAGTGTTGTTGTTGTTGCAGCATCAACAACTGAAATTTGTTTAGGTGTAGATTTATTCTAACTCCGTAAGATTATGAATCCGGTGACTTCCCAGGAGAACCTGCCTTGATAGCATTGTTGTGTTCCTTAAACGAAAGCACCTTTTCGTCATGCAGATGTTTTTTTTGGCGAGGATTGTATACAGCCTGTTATTATTCTAAGGGCTGCGTTTTGTCAGTTTTGGAGCTTCTTTAAGCACGATAGATCTTTTAATTGAAAAATAACTAAATTATGAAAATTAAAAAAAAAATCGTTGAAAGATCAATTTGTGGCATAAACAATTGAAAATTTATTTTGGGCATATGACAACCATCAATAAAGCGTATACTGACTTCACACTGCGTTGGTAGCGTTGTTCAAGTGACAATCCATTTATAGTGATTTGCCAGAGTATATGATCAAGAAAGTTGGAGCAGCAAGACAGTTCGTTTGACAGTTTTTTTTCGCAAATTATAAGAGATTTAAAAACTTCTAAGGACAATGTGGTGGTTGTGGATTCGATTCTCACCAGAGACACTGATAAAGGAGTGCGCCCACCTAAAAATCTTGGGGGTCACATTTGATAGCCTATTTACTTCCTTAGCTCACGCCACTGCAATCACGCACAAACTGCGAAGTAGAAACAAGGTCCTTAAAGCGCTAGCCGGCAGCACTTGGGGTATGGATAAAGAAACCTTGTTAGCATATAAAATGATTGGTCGGTCAGTGGTTAATTATGTTGCTCCAGTGTGGTCACCTTCGCTCAGTGATACCCAGTAGAGAAACATTTAAATCTGCCAAAATGCAGCCCTAAGGACAGTAACGGTCTGCCTACAAATTACTTCGGAACATCACCTGCACGAGGAAACGAAGGTCCTCCCAGTCAAGGAACACAATGTCATGTTGACTTAACAGTTCCTCTTGGGATGTCATCGGACTTTAACATCACACAGTTGGACACTTCCCCGAGGCATGTCAGGAAGGTTCTTCGTATATACGAAGAAAACATACGCAGATATGTACAGGATCCATTAGATCAGTCCTCGTATACGGCAGCTTTGAACGACAATCATAGAGACGCCATAAATTCCGCAGTCGCAGGATACCGCATGAATTTCGAACTTGGTCACCTATAACAGACACGAAAGAAAACCTACCGCGGAAAACAAGAGTAGTTCTGGCACAACTAAGATCGGGATGGAGCAACAGGCTCAATTCCTACTGGTCACGTATAGACCGTGTCGTCCCCAACGAATGTCCTGCATGTGGTCAGGGTCGTCATGACAGCCACCACATATTCAACTGCTCAGCCAACCCTACTTCACTCTGTCCAATGGATTTATGGAGGCATCTAGTTAAAGTAGCCCAATTTTTTTGGCCTGGACATTGATGTATAGTTTTAGCTGTTACAACAATAACAACATAAAGGAGTGCACAACAGAACTGATGGAGGCCTACGATTATTACATCGGATTTGATGTAATATACAATTTCAAACTAACTATAACTAAATAACCACCCCTATTCTGCTTTTCGAATCGAAATTTTTTTTTAAAAATGTAGTTACGATCGCAATGTAGAATAAACACAGTCGTAAAACATTGAAATAAAATGGAATTGCTTCTTCTTTTCCTCTTTTTCTTACGATTCTGTTTTTTGTTGGATCGTAGCGTAACTGAATGGGGAAATTCGTATCAAAACAGTTTAAGATTGTAGGGGAACAAATTTGAATAATGTGGCTTATAACAACCAAATATCGAATTTTTACTGCTTCTAAAAATAAGATTAGATGTAGTTCAAAGTTGTCAAAATTGAACAGGTTTTTCACCAAAGTCGGAAGAACTTCGAGTATGTTATTTGTGGTAAAAATTCTACTTCTTTTTCCTCACTTTTTCGCTAGGTAAGTTTGCTAGCAAATTTATTTAAAAATGTATTTATCTCAATACTTATCTATGTACATATATGGTGCTAATACATATTTCCATTAAAAGTGGTATATGGTTCAATTCCCTTTTCATGGATATTGCTATGAACCATTGTATACTAAAATCACTACTAATATTTAGGATTATAAACTTCCACAAAAACTTTTGTCATAAATATTTGACTCCAAATGATTTACCACGTAGTAAATATTTATTTTTCCAGATCGTGTACAAATGAAACTTAATAATAATTAATTCTTATTTCATTTCAATAATTTAGAAATACCTTCTAAAAATATCACACATTCTTTAATTCTGAAACTGCCCTGTAAAAGTGAAATTGAATAAAAAATAAGAACCCAATTTTACTATGTTCAACCACAACTTTCTCATTTAAGTTTAAAAACTAACGATGCACGGTGTTATTAGGATTATAAATCTTTTTTATTTTATACCAAAATATTTCACAGTTACAGGAATTTTAAACGGTCCCAAACTATTTGCCCTTAAACAACTCACAATAAAAAAAACTATGCAATTTACTTTGAAAATTAAACAAAATGTAAAAATGTTATAATTTAGAAAATAATAATTAATACAAAAACGGCTTTAAACAAAATAAAATAAAAAATTAGTTAATTATTATATATAATTTTCAAATACATTTAGCAAAAACTATAGGATTTAAATAATGTGTATAATAAAAAATAAAAACTATTTAAATATATAAAAAACTACATATTAAATACAAAAAAAAAACTATTTAATTTCAGTTTTTAAAACTACATTTAAATGTTATAAACAAAAAATGGTATTGAGTAAAAAGTTTTAGTAAACAATTACAAGATTTTTTATACTAAATTAATATTGTATATCCTATGTAGTATATAATTTTCTTAATTTTCTTTAGATTTACAAAAAAAAAAACAAAATTATTTTAATTATGGCAACCTGTAATAGACACTGAAAAAAATTATGTATGTTACATGTATTTTTGTGTAATTTTACAAATATTTTTTTATGTAAAACTAAACTAATATAAGAAATTATGAACAAAAACCAGGCATTTTATAAAAAAAAAGAAGAATAGTGAATATTAAAAGCACTCAAAATCTACTTTAAAATGTCTTCATCCATTTCTATGTAAATAATACATTAAACATTAACACAATTTGAAAGTTTAATTTTGAAATTACGCTGAGTGTGTCATAACTGAATTAAATGCCTATTTTTTTAAGAAATATTTTTTTTTATAAAATTTTATTTCTTTTCCTTTTACATCTGTGCTATAATAAAAAATATATCTAAAAGCTGTGATACACGGTTGTCAAATCTTACAACGTTGTCAGTAAAATTGTGTGAACTTACAATTTTTCTTTTGTAACGTTGTCAGAAAAAACAAAATTTGTAAGTTGACACTGTTGTTAGACATGTCTGCACATTTTACTGCCAACGTTGTAAGATCTAACAACCGGGTATACATACATACATATACATACATATGTATACATTAAGCTATAGCTTAATGCCCATTTTGTCGATCTATTGGCATGCAAAACATTTTTCTTAAATAATAAAAGTCGATTCGTTTTGGAAATCTGCTAACAAAAACATAGACAATCAATCAATTTCTGAAATGCAAATATTGGTTTCATTTAATTTTAAATGTTTTAAAGTCCACTCTATTTTGCAAAGATTTAAATATTTTGCTAAAATTTATATAATAAAGGTTTGTAACGAAAAAAAATTTCCTCACAAAATTTGTTTCAAAAACCGTTTATAATACAAAAAATTGTTTATTTATGTATAAGATTATAGATTCTATGAATTGTGAAGAATGTCAATGAATTTAAGAAGAAAGTGATGCGTCTACGTATAAATTGAAAATCAATCTACTATTGTACCCAGTATTAAAAAAGGGGGCGAGATATTGATATTGTCCTTCCATATGTAAAGCATCCAAATATTCAAAATAAATTCTGGGTCCTTATTAAGTACCTAAATTCTCCGTCCATCGAGGCCTATGATTTCACATAGCCCCCAGAAAAGTACAGCACAGCAATGAAATTGGACAAAACTAGTTTTCTAGGATCGGTCCATAATTGACCCTGCCCCCTATGACATAATTATGAAATTCGCCATAATGAAGTTTTGAAGGAACCAGAATCGAAATTTTAAAAGGATTCATAATTGACCTTTCAGAAAATGTCTTTAATACTTTGTAATGGCTTAAAAGTGCAATTAAGTATGGCAGTGAATTCGACAAAGTAACGTTTATAAGAACCATATCTCTGTAATAAATATATTGAGGATCGATCCTTAATTGACTCTTGTGCTGATGTTTATAACTTAATTCATACTTCATAAATAAAATTTAAGGTCGAAAATTATAAAAGTAATTATAATAACTTTTGTTTGGTTTCTATAGAATATGTTTAAAATATGTCAGTCCATTCACTTAGGCTTCAGTTCTGTTGTAACCTTTTATTAGGGTTTATTCCGGAATTCAAATGATTGAAATCTTAATATATAAAAAATGGCCCAATAATAAAATTCAGGAAATCGTTGTATTTCATATACATACATATATGTATGTATACCTATAGGTATATGTATTACAAAGTTTAAACTAATGGTTAAATTCAGTATTTTGTATAAATCTTTTGTATATTTTTAATCAAAAATATTAAAAAAATGTTTATAATGGTAACATTAAATTATTAAAATTAGTATTAAAATATTATTAATTCCCGTTTGATCTATAAATTAAAAGCTAACTGTAATACATATTTATAGTTTATATATCATAATATAACAATTAGAAGGTAGAATCAGTAGAAGAGTACGTTCTCAATTTTACATGCCTTGAATTGATAACTCTCCCTACTGATTCTACCTTTTACTGGTTGTATCATGGTTTATATCTTTTAGTTCATATTTTAAAAATTTATTGTATTTGAAATTGTTGTTATTGTTTATAAGGACTTTTATTACTTAGACAAAAAAACGAAATTTTTCAAACAGTTCAACAACCTAATGTTTTCGTAACTAATATGCATTCTATTGAACCAGTATAGAACCAATGCCAAACTAGTGACTAAAAACTATGGCCTTGAAACCATTTAAGAAGTTCCATAGAACAACTTCCAGTACTAATGTCAAAATCACTAGTTTATATTAAATTCTTACATTTTCCAAAGATTTTCCATTTTCTGAAGATATAGTTTACAATATACGAAATAATATAAAATAACTATTTCGATCAAAATGGAATTCTGTAATATTAATAAAAAACATTAGAAAGAAGGAAGAAACGGTTTTGTGTAAATCGATAATTGTTATCTTGACACAATATTTCGCATAGGTTTCTAGAGAATTTATGTTTAAATGGCGGTATAAAAGCTGTTCATTTGAGATTTTGTTTTCATGCCTCAAAAAGTTTGGAACCAAAAAATTTTTTATTGGATATGAAATTTTCCATAGAATTTCTGAAGAATTATAGGAGATTAGAGCTTATGTTTTGCTTGCCCCTAAAAAATGATTACCAAAAGTATTTTTTACATATTTTTTGAACTACCAACGGACCGACTATAGGTGATATCATATTTGTTTTACTTTTTGTACTTCGTTGTAACTATTTCTCTGCGATTAAACAGGCATGTTACCACATCATGGCACATCATCTAAAATTAAGTTTCAAAATTACTAAAATACAAATAATAATAAAAAAATAAGCAAAATTAAAAACATTTAGTTAATTAAGATTGTGCATAATTTTTAGTAAACTTAACAGGTATAAATATTTAACATATAAAAAACAACAAAATCATAAAATTTAAAGAACAAAACTATTGTAAATTATTTATTAAGATAAAGAGAAAACAAATCAATTGCAAATAAGTTAAATAAATAAATTTAATGATTTTTGAAGAAGAAGAAAAAAAAAAACAAATAAAATTTAACTCAAAAATACAAATATTAAATAAATGTATAAAACATGTATGAAATTAAGAAATGTTTTATTCTTTTACTAGAGACCCGGTAACTAAAGTAATTTTAAAGTGTGGTTAACTTAAGTAATCATTAGTTTTGTTACTATATCTTATATATTTTTCCTGAATTTATTTTACGTCCCTTATGCACAAATAACTGTTCTGTTTAAAAGAATAAAAAAAGTCGTACACAATTTAATTTTAAATAATGCAAAAATAATTTATTTTAATAATCTTTTAAAAGAAATCCATTTTCAACCTTGGTTCTCCCACAATTTCAACATTATCCTCGCCCTTGTCAACGCCAAAATGCAATTCTCCACCACGTTGATAGGCCCAAGACATGCGTCGAGAAGTGAAATATATACCAAGATTTCCCTTGGGATCAATACTAATTACACCAGCAGTTTGTTTAAAACGTTCTGTCATTTCATCCAGTACCTTAACAGTGGCCTCTTGAGCACTCAAACCAAACATTTCAGTCAAAGCTAAAATTCTAGAGGCCACATTATAACGCATAATAGTTTCACCATTACCAGTGGCCGAGACACAACCAGAAGCATTGTCTGCATAAGTACCACCGCCCAAAATTGGTGAGTCACCAATACGTCCCGGCATTTTACCAGTTATGCCACCAGTAGAGGTAGCAGCCGCCACATTACCATAAGCATCAATAGCAACTGCACCTACGGTGCCAGGTGAACCAAAAATTTCCTCCTCTATGAATCGGCTGCCATTATTAAAACTATTTTTGAAATTCTCCAAAGCCTTTTTAGCGTTTTCTGTAACTAAAGCTCCTTCGGGCAAAAATTCAAAACCTTCTGCTTTAGCATAAGCCATAGCTCCCTCTCCAGCTAAATATTTATGCCTGGTTTTATCCATTATACTGCGAGCCAACGATATGGGATGCATTATATCCTTAGCTACCGATACACAACCGGCATTCAAGTCATAACCATTCATAATGGCAGCATCCATTTCTACATTACCCTCCCAAGTAAGCACGCCACCATAGCCAGCATTGAAGTTTGGATCTGATTCTAAGTACTGTACCGCTTGTTGGACAGCATCTACCACATTGCCAGTGCTTTTCAAAGTTTCGTAACCAATACGGGCAGCCAATTTAACACCATGCTTTGCAATGGGTATCTTAGAATCGGATATATCTCCGGCACCACCATGAACTAATATGGTGGGCGTAATAGTTTGGGACTATAATAAGAAAATTAGTGGGTTCTTAGTGAACAAAAGTAATTAATAAATTAAAGTATCAATAAGGGCCAATCTTTAGGTGAAAGATTAGCGATTAAATTAAAATTAATCCTCGAAAGATGTTTTTGAGTACTCAATTAGTTTTGTTTGCAAGTTTAAGCGCCCAATGGAGATCTTAAGCACGAAATGCAAAAGTGTAAACAGCTGATGCAAAAAAATTAATAAAATTTTTATAAATATAAAAATTAAAATGTTCTATTTATTGATTAGTATAAATTATGGACACTTCAAAATACATTTTTTTGTTTTTAATTTAAGTTTTCATTAATTTTCATATTAAATTTACAATTGTCTTCTTCTTTTTTATAAAATATGCATTGTTTTGATAACAAACAGTGACATTTTCTTTTGGTTTGTATGGCAACACTGCGAAGTTTAATCTTGTACTCAAAAACATCAAAGGGGATTAACATAAGATTAAATTTATTTTTAGATTAACTAATCTGATTATTAATTGGCATTTGATTACCATCTCAAAAACCCGCTCTAAAAATGCATGATTAATATTATTTAAAATAGTGTTAATATTAATTATAATTAAAAAACTTCATATATTTTAAAACTCACCGATATTTGATTATAAACACCACATAATATCAAAGACACAAGAATATACTGAAAGAGACAGAAAATTAATATTAAAATATTTGGCACTTCCTACACGTGATTACAAAATGGGAAAAATGTTTGTAAATTAATTAGTAGGAAGTGAATTTCTACCCTCTTTTAAAAAAATGGGGGTATATTGATTTTGTCATTCCGTTTGTTACACATTGAAATACATCCTGCTCGTATACTCTTAACAGTATATGTTTATTAAAAGCCCGCTAGGCCCCAAACGGGAGGAGCTAAGATTCTGACCCTTTTCCACAAATAATGTACATATATAGCTCTGTATTGAGAATGGGCAATATAGGTTTAACTACTGCTCGAAAGTGTACATAATGTTGGTGCTTATAAAATGTATGACCGAATGTCTGCTTGAAAGGGACTGGAATTTCTTCGAAATATTATCTGTTCTTGAAATGGTATTTCAAAAGTTCAAAATAGTATATAATAACCAGTGCAGTAAATTAAACCATTTAACTACATTCTAAATAATCCGATCTGCAACTCTCAAAATGGAAAATTTTATTCAAAATTAATCAATTGTGCAATCTAATCTAAATAATTAAATTTCCTTCATTACTTTACATTAACTTAATAACCAAACGGAGAAAGTCAATAAACGGCTTGCAAAACGCACAATAAACAAGTTTTATTTTCACTTTTTATTATCGCTTTTAATTAATATAGTATTTATGTGTATAGCCGTACCTTTAAGTGCCGCATTTTTTTAAATGTTCAACGCAACGGTCAGTTATGAACTGAAAACAATATTTATTTTATTTGATGCTTGCAATAAATAAATTTACTTCCTTAATCAATACGGCCGAAAACATTTTATTTCTCAACTGTGATAACTTATCTGCGATAAAATATGGTGTTTAATTTAATTTTTTAGTTATTTAATGGAATATTATTAAATGCACTGAAAACTTTAGCTACTGGCAAATTCAATTAATTTTTTTTCGAAAATTTAAAATTTTTTAATAGTAAAATTTAATCTGTATCTAATCTATGAGATGAAATTTTTGATAAAGAAAAATTTATTAAAATAACAAATAATAACACAGGCTAACAAAAATTTTAAAAAGTCGAAACCCAGAGACCAAATTAAACTTTTCTAAAGGATTGATCAGCGCTGAATTTGAATCTGGCCTCAGAATCCATCACATCAGGTTATCGTGTCGTGAAGTATAAAAGTTGTTATATCGTTTGAAAATTCCAATCTGTCGGCTTTTAAATAAAGGTTTAATCACTGTCTTCTATCTTCTTCTTTTTTGGAGATATCTTAGCATAACGTTTGAGATAACAATAAATTTCCAAAAAATGTAAAACATTTAAAACAACAAAATACATTGAAATTTTAGTACGGGACTAACTTATCTAGAAACAACACATAAAAACTTACTGCCCTGACGAGTACGGGAACAGACATTATAATAAATAGGAAATTCTCGTTTTTCAAAAATAACTGCCTACCTAATAAAACATGCTAATGTTTGAACATTCATGCATGTCATGCCAAAATGCAACACTGTACTTAGAATTGTAATAGATTACGATAAAAAGTGACAGTTGATAGAAAAAAAAAACTAAATTAAAGACGGAGAAAAAAGGAATTCATCATAATTTTTTTACTGCGAAAAATTGCACTTGAACATTTTCTAATGCTTGAGGGTATTGGAAAAAAGATTAATAACAGTCATAACTATTAAAAACCCATTTAATATTGCACTTTAACATTGTTATCAAAAATTATTTCGAGGAAAACAAAACCTTTTTAAAAAGTAAATAAATTGCTCTCAATTAAAAGAAAAACAACAACAAAATACAAAGCAAAAACAAAAAGGTAAACAAAGAAAGCAGAAAAAATACTCATAGACAAACATTGGAAGATAATTTTGTTGTTTTTTTTTTTTCATTTTGGGATTTCTATAATTATTGTGTGTACATATTCTTTTGTAAGAAGTGCAACGAGATAGATTAATCAGTCGGTCGTTTGGTCGTTCGATTTTTGGTATCATTTTGTCAAATATCATTGCACTCACTGCCGTGTAAAGTTTATCTTGTCGCCAGAAGCAATCGGTTGCTGAACTCTGTTTTTTCTAAATTATGGGTCGTGTATTTTTGGAACATTTAGGTGGCACACGTCTATTCAATTGTGCTCAATGTCAAACAAACTTAACTAATCGAAATCAGCTAATAAGTACTCGATTCACTGGAGCTACGGGTAAGTGCATTGTGTAATGTAATTTTTAATTTTATTACTAGTATGCACCTGCATACAAGCATAAATATTTATTTACTTTTAAAAATGTGCTAATTTGTTTCTTATTTTATTACTTATTATTTTTTTTCCTGTAATCTCTGTGGGGTGATTATCTTCTTGCTGTTGGTTGGAATATTGTTATTATTTATTGAAATAGGACGAGCTTATCTCTTCAAGCGTGTAGTCAATTTAACCTTTAGCAATATCCAGGAGCGTGTTATGCTTACTGGAAGACATATGGTACGCGATGTGATGTGTAAAAATTGTAGTGTTAAACTGGGCTGGATGTACGAGTATGCAACAGATGAGGCACAAAAGTAAGTATTCGCAATTACAATGAATTATTTTTACTCTTTTATTTTTATACTGGAAATTTCTCAATTCGTTTTTGCAACAAGAAACCGAATATCAGTCCAATCCTGCTGGATCTTAAGCGTTTCATGACTATTGAATGTTGGAAATACATCACTGATCTGCATCTGATGATTATTTTGAGTAAATAAAACTATAATATCGCATCTGTACGTTTTTTTAAATTTTCTGTGATGCATTTCCGAACGTACTGCGCATCAGATGCATCATAGTGATATATTTCCGAACAGTCCCTAAATCTTTACTTCAGTCCCCATTATGACATGTGACATATTGTCTTATCGCTGTAATTTTAGGACTGATGACGCTGCAATTATTAGGACTCTATATCCATCAGACTATAAAGTTAAATATTGTCTGGAATATAATTTAAATACATTAAAAAGTACATCTACTGTCAGCCTTAATTAAACAAATCCTTATTTCTGATTTTTTAAACAAGACTTATTAAAAATAAAAAAATAAATACTATGTATTTTCTCCTTTCTTGCAGATATAAAGAAGGTCGTGTTATTTTGGAATATGCCCTAATCAGTGAAATTGAAGGTTTCCCTGAAAGTATAACACCAGTTCATTGATTTGTTGAAACATTCAACACACACAACTACAATCTCTAGTTTGCCCTCACTTTAATACTTAATTAATTTAAATTTAAATAAATACTTTAATCTTAATTTATGTTCTTCAAATAAAACTCTAATATAAAAAAATGAGAAAAAATCTAAAAAAAATATTAGTTTTTATAAGATAAGTATTTAAGTATCTTATTTTAAGCCTTTACACCAAATTTAAATAACATTTAATATAGTTTTTTTTTCAAAATTATCAACTAATTTTAAGTAAACGGAGGCTTTAAAGCTTAACGTACATTAATGAAATTTTAATAAAAAAAACTTTATTTTTCTCAAAAAGTAGTTTGTTTTTTCTTTAAATTTTATTAAAATGCCACAAACATTTGTTTGCTAAATTAACAGTTTCCTCTTTTAAAAAAATGAATAAAGTTAACATAAAAAATTATATAGGGAAGGAAGTAAAGCAAAAAGAAAACAACTTTAGGAAATCAGAATGTGTAATTTCTTTAGCTTTTTTATATATAGCTTGATTCTCGTGTCGATCCTTGTGTTTATATTAAAATTTCCTAATTCCCACCTTATAGTCTACCGGTTTTTTGAGCCATGGCTAAAGCATTTTCATTGGCAATCATTTGGAATTCCTGGAATCTTTGTGATATACGTTGATTCATTTTCAAATACTTTTCCATACAATTCAAGGAACATTTTTCCTACAAAAAGAACAACAACAAAGAATTAGTATTAGTAGTCAAGGTTTTAGAAGAAATTTGTTTTTTTTTCTTTTGCTTACCTCGCTGTCCTTCACTTGTCGGGAGGTGAAATCTCTAACACAATCTGTGAAACACATTTCAGATAATTTATTGTATGACATTAAAAAATCTGAAAACTAAATTTTAGAAAAGAATCATATTTAGCCAATTCATGATATTTTCTTCTATTGTCTATTGCTATAGTGGCGTGCAAATATCTTTTGGTCTTACCGTTTTCATTTGTTCTTTATCCAAAGATTCCAGACTGGCGGTATTTGCTTCAACGTTGGCCATTTTTATTTGTTAATATATTATTGAGTTTAATTGAAAATTTTATGAAAAAGTATTGAAATTATGCTTTCTGCTTGAGTTTTTAATGTTGTAATCAGTTTTTTTCTTTAATAAAGTGTGTGTTAATGTTGTTGTTGTTGGAAAAAAGACATGCTGTCATTGACAGTCTCAGCTGTTTTGTTTTTGTCTGACAGTTTTGTGTTTAACAGCTCTGTTTTACAGAGTTTTATTATTCTATTACAATTTGAACAGAGTTGTTAATAGTATTAACAGTACAGTAAAACATTTTTAGAATAATAACAGTTAAATATAGTGTTGGTACATTTATTGTCAATAAAATGTTTTTATTAAAAACTCAAACTAATATATTATTTTTTCATAATTCGAAATCTGCTCATAGCATAAAACTATCAGCTAATTTGAACAAATTGAACCGCATTAAACAAATCTTCAAATCTCTGGTTTTTCACTATTCCACAGTGGGACAGAAACAAAATATTTTTGGAAATAAATCTGTTATTATGTTATGTTTTGATACCAGAATGTTGTTTTTTCAGATAAACATGAAATTGTTGTTTTTAAAGAAATTTTTTTAATAAAGAAAGATCCATAAATGATATTGGTCCAAAATTAGTTTGTATATTATTGATAATTTAGTTGTCTGAGAAAGTCGAGAAACTGCAAATTAAAGCAAAAATAATTCAGTAGAGATTGTATCGTATCGTCAATAGTTTCTAAACCACAGTGTCAAGGTTTTCGACAACAGGATTACATTGATTCCTTGGTGTATCCTAACCACCAAATTACTAATACTATTTAAAAAAAAAAAACATTAAAATTTATATTTATTTTTGTTTATACGTTTATTTAAACAACTTTTCATTTTTATTTTAAGTTAATAATTAATAATAATATATAGACTTTATTTTACTTTATATATACTTCAGTTTTAAATTATAATATTTGCAGTTTTTTTTTGTTAATTATTATTAAATTCTGAAAACACAAAATCATACTTGATTTATTTTTTAAATATTTAATTACACATATACACAATTTTGTTCACGACAATAATTTTTTTACGATTTTTTTTCACTCTTTTCAATATAAATATAGAATTTGCTCCCGAAAATGTGTGTTTTCTAAGTAGTATTATTTTTATTTTTATTTAAACAAAAATATTGAAATTTTTACCAAAGATTATTTTTTTTGTTTGCATTTGTTCTTGATTTTAAAAATTTAAAATAACTTAAAGGTGTAGAGATTAGAAAATAAAATATTGAATTTTACAATTAATATAATTTTATAAAATATATAGATAGCAAAAACAAACTAAGCTACTTTTTCATTGTTATTGTTATTTATAATTATTATATGCATAGCTTAAATATAGGGTTTTTTAATTAATTACAAATCATTGTTAGGAAAAAGATTTTTAAATTTTAGCGATAGAAAGAACATGTGTAACACATTATGGGGGGACTTAAGGCTGTAAAAGAATTTCGAAGAC